ATAAAACATCAGTTTTTAACATAATAAAATACAGATAATTTCATACAGGCTTTTAAAGCATTTCTAAAAGCCCAACCTCACATCCTTCGTCATAGTGCTAATTCCTTATCAAAATATAAAGCATCATTCCGTGTAATTACTTTTCCCCCAAGGAGTGAACTTACGCCAACACTTTTCCACCGAAACGATTGTTATATGTATAGAGTCCATAATATTCATTTTCGATAAAATATCTAACTATAATAAAACTAGAAGTCACCCTTCGATGTAGCGAAATTGACTGCATTATGCCTGTATTTCGAAACCAATCCTATATACACGATAGGGTATCTATGCATGTTGAAATTATTTAACAACTTTAACTTATTTTTAAAATAACGACATGATAATTATCTTAAATTCTAATGTTATATTTTCATTTTATTTTCTATACATGATAAGCCATATCAAGCTATAGAGCTTTTTTTAAAAGAAAAACCCTGCATGCAAGCTACCTGTTATGTCTTAATTTATAAGATATTTTTAAATAAAATCATGTATATCAATAAATATATTTTACAACCTTATTTTTTTAAAATAAAAATATAAAATTTTAAAAATATCTTTCACTCAATATTCCATTTATATAATAATATTTAAAAAAATAATAAAATGATAATATTGATAAATAATTATTAATGACACATTATTTTTATCAAAGTTTATTATATTTTGTGTCACTGAATCTCCCTTAAAAATATATTATAATTTAATATGGATGGTTTATATTTAATGGAGTAACTTTATAAATATTGAAGCTAGTCTTATTCATTTTATTGGAATTCAAGATCTGCCACAATATGCATTATGCACATAATTTAGCTTCTTATAAAGTTTTATAAACATATAATGCTTTTTTTTTTATTAATAAAAGGACAAGTAGTTCCATTACAGAGTAAAGGAAAATGAAAGATAAGATAAAATACTATGAGAGAGAGAGAGAGAGAGAGAGAGAGGAAAAGATGGGCCCTCCGAACTCCGAAGGCAACAGTCCACATGGCAGGCTTCTTCTGGGATCAGAATCTTGTATGTTGACTGAAAAATCTTCAGCAATTCAAGAATGTTTCCTTCATGATGATTAGATCTGATACGAGAGACCTGATATTTTGCATGTAATCTCCTGTGACCAAAGAATCAGATCTAAAACCAACAGTTTCAAACCACAATGCTCTAGAAAAAGAGCAATCAAGGAAAAGACGAAGAATAGACTCTTCATTTTGGGATCCAAAAGGACACTTACTTGAGGATATAAAGTGATACCTTTGGAGAATGTCGACTGCGGGGATAGCTTCGGGAAGAAGCTTCCAAACAAATAAAATCATCTTCATGGGAAGTTTAAGCTTCCATATTGAAGTCCAAGGGAAGGGAATACTTTGCTGCTGATGAACAGACTCAGCTTGATGGATTCTAAACCCCTCTTTGATTAAAATTGTATCCTTGGATCTATCATTATATTATGATATTGTTATTCAATAAATTTTTCTTCTATTATCAAATTAATTATATATTCACTATAACAATTATATTCTTGGATAAACTATAATGATTGTTCTAGATATTCCTAATTTGTCATCCATGAGGGATCATGGATGAACTAAAATTGATATGACTTTGATTAATTATAAAGATATAAACTAAAATCGTAGGCTTTTGAAAAGAGATAATGTACTAGATCGACCCTCTATGAAAAAGTTATATGGTATAAGTTATAAGTTTATTTCATATGTAACCATGTTACTAAGCCCTTTGACTTGAGATTATCATGGATTCCTATATGATAACCACTGAATTTTGACCTAGTCAAAAGTTACCTTTAATCGAGTAATCATAAAGACTGTGATTAAATTTAGCGATATTCATGCAGAGGAATATGAGTAGTCAAGATAAAATTTATCCCTTACATTAATTGAGAGATATTATTAGGTTCTTAAATGAGTAAGACTAAGAAATGTATGTACATACTGCAATAGAAATTGTTTTTTCCATTGTTATAGTCAGTTCACTCAGAGATCGAGAAAGGAAAATAACAGTTCCATGTTTCACACTTGACCGAAACATCATGTGACAAAAGGAATGTGATATAGTTATATGATAGGTTACATTGGATCATTAATTCCTACATGAATTGGGCAGTCGCAATATTTTTTTTTAGAGGCTACTTGTGATTTGTGGGCTAGTAGCTCTATTAGTCTACTGCTAACTTCATATGGGCTTACAGAGTCGCATATAAGAACAATTCAACTCGAGTTATAATATCAAAATTCATTAAATATGAAATGTATCTGGATTCAATGAATGTGATGCTTTATCTAGGGTGAATAAATTGTGTGTGTGTGTGTGTCTTTGAATATTTATCTAATAAAAAATATATATATATATATATTTTTTCAATATATATATATATATTGTGTATATTTATATATATTAAATTTAATAACTAACATGATATAAGACAATATCATATAAGTTCTATAATTTAAATTTATGAGACAAATTCAAATAAAATATAATATTATATATTTATTTTATGAGATAAATTAAATTTTATTTTCATTCTCTCAATAGATGATTTTTAAAATAATTGTGATTTTTTCAAAAATTCATAAGGAAAGACAAAAATAACCTTAATCTATACATAGAGAGGGACGAGCTTCCTAAGTGAGACACCAGACTCTTGATAGCAAAAATTTTTTAAGAGCCACAAACATATCCTAGAAAAAAAAAAAGCAACATCCGAATGAGGCCACAAGACTAGATTTTCCAAGATTTTTGCATAGATGGACGGGCGCTGGAAGCGCTAGTACGTTATTTGTGTAGATACTAGTAGAGGGAGTCAATCTGCATTTTCAGGTCCAAATACTCGAGGAAAGCTTGAAAGTTCGACATACGAAAGATACTATTTCTGTCCATCTTGATTTAAATAAATTCGATTGGTTTGCGATTGTGATTGGAGTTTTTAATCCAACATCCTTAACATTATACGTTCCAAAGCTTCTACCTTTTGAAATAAGCCTATCAGGAACATTAGTGCAAGATATAGGCATAGCTGAGATCTTTTTAATATCTTAGGGGAATAGATTTGACATAGGGCACCTAGATTCCACCTTAAGGGAGGATAAGAGGTTGGGCAATAGGAGATTAAGTCAAACACCTAGTAAAAAAGAGGAGTGATTCATAACCATAGGATCAGTCCAAAGTGGGTCTTGAATGCTGATGTTGGATTGCGTTCCCACTTGCCAGCTTAAGTGATTGGAACAATTGAGAATACCCTTTCACATCCATGAAGTATTACATGGAGATTTAGTTAAAGAAGCTGAGCTTAAATCAATATATTTCCTCTTAAGTGTAGATCCTGGAAAAGAATTATTAAGCACTTGTATCAGTCTCCAGATTTGCTCAGCCAACAAACTTTTCTTGACCAAATGCATGGGTCTAAAACTAAGACGACCTTTATGGCAGGGCTGAAACAAGACATCCTTGCTGGAAAGATGCATTCTTTTTCTCCCTTCTTGAATACCCCAGAAGAAGTCCAAACAGAGTGCGTCGATTTTATGGCAAAGATGCAGTGGCATTTTGACACAACATAGCTGATAAATATTGGCAGCAGAGAAGATATACTTAATTAAAGCTAGCCTTGAAGCTTGAGAGAGAGTGGGAATTTTTCAAGAGGCTAGTCTTTTGTCAATGGCTTCTCTAGCATGAGAGTAAAGGGCTGATTTATCTTTGCCTAAATCTACCCATGTGCCCAATTATTTACCAAGTTTATCAGCTAAAAGGAATGTTGAAGAAATTTGCTATTCCTCCTTCAGATAAGGATTCGTGTTCGGGCTAACAATTAAAGATGACTTGGAAAAATTAATCTTTTGCCTTGACAGATAACAGTACTTTGCCATAGTCTCCTTAACTGCATCAAGGTTTTTCCTAGAACGTTCAAAAAACAGTAGGGAATTATCAGCACAAAGTAAACGAGAAACAGGCTCTATTAATTGACAAACTTTGATGCCCTTTGAATTTCCTTCAGATTCCTGCTCCTTAATGAGACATGAAAGAACGTTGGCAACAATAATGAAAAGATAAGGTGATAAAGGATCACCTTGCCTAATTCTCCTGTAAGGTTTGATCAGACTAGGAAGACTTCCATTGACTAGAATTTGGTACTCCACGGATGAGATACATTGAAAGATAAGGTTAACCCATTTCACAAGGATATTCATTTTAGTGAGTACTGCAGCAATGAAATTCCAAGATACCCTACCAAAGGTTTTAGAAAAATTCACCTTGGTTGCTGCAAGCTTTGTTTTGTTGGAATATGCATGATGTAACTGATTCATTATATCGGACGCAAGCAAAACATTATTAGAAGTGAGCCGTCCTTTAAGGAAGGCATTCTGATTTGGATAAATAGAAGACTGCAGCATCCCTTTGAGCCTGTTGCACAAGACTTTTTTAAAAAAACCTTATAACTTGTATTGCAAAGATTGATTGACCACAGAAATTTGAAAGTTCTGATATGATCGCCTTTAAGGATAAGAGCTATAATACTCCTGTTCAAAGACCTTAGGATAAATTCCGATTCCCAAATATGTTGAACTATGTCAACTATGTCCTTACAAATCAAGTTCCAGTTCCTTTGAAAACAAAAATTCTCATGAAATCCATTTGGCCAGGTGAAGAATCTTTGGGAAGGAAGAACAGAGCTTCTTTGATTCCTAACTCAGGGAGAGGTGCATTTAGACTCGCGGCTTAAACATGAAATGGTATTAATATTCATATGTGCATGAATTATTTCAACGGCAAAGCCTGCCACGTGTAAGTCAATGAAAGACTTTGGGACAAAATCGTCATTCCATTCAATTACAATATTTTTAATTTTTTTCCCCATTAGGTCGGTTTTAACAGTGCACTATACTCTCTGCGCGCGCGTGCGTGTTTATTAGATTAGAAGCTAGGAAAATTCTCGACTTACCTTATTGACCTGTCATCGAGTTATTTCTGAAACCCAGCGACAACAGCAGAAGCTAGAGACGCGAGCAAAGGCTGAAGCGAGAAGAATATTAACAAGACTACTAAAATCGCTAGCCACACATTCAGCATCGTCCTTGTTTGCTGCTATATCTCAAAATTATTCTTTTATGGTGTCGGTGAATCCGAACCCAGCTCAAGGATTCTACTTCTTCGATGCCACCAAGATGGGGCTTCCCGGTGTCAATCCTACGCCCCCACCTCCGGCTACTGCCACGGCTTCTTCTTCCACGGCCACTACCGCCGGCGTCAGTGCGGCTTCCTACGGGGAGGATCTAAGCAAGAAGATCCGAAAACCATACACGATTACCAAGTCCAGGGAGAGCTGGACGGAGCAGGAGCACGACAAATTTCTCGAAGCTCTCCAATTGTAAGTGTCGGTTTATCTTTATATCCAATTAAGGTTAATGCAAAATTACTATTGCTCTTTTGATGTTTTCACATCGAGCATCGTTTTTCTTAACTGATGAATTTCTGATTTTGGCTAATGCAAGGTTAGAATTGACCATTTCTTCCGCTACCCCATCCCCTCCCCGAGTTGTTTACTCTACAAGTAGACTCAATTGGTTGAGAATTTTTTTTGACTAGTGAAATAAGTGACTGCAACCTTAATCTTTTAGGTTATTGAGGTAGTTTTGTCTATAATCCTCCGGGAAGGGGGGGGGTTCTCACAATGTATTACCTTGTCCTTTTATTTTTCTTGCTATCGTGAATTTATGCTTCTCTGGCCGATTTGAACTCAAATACCTTTTTGGCTTGTGTGTGCGCTTTCTTAATATGTGACATTTGGGTTCTGGCTAATGCCGGGCTGGGATTGCCCAATTTCTCTTATTTCCTTCATATTTATGGGTTCCTGTGTAATTAAATGAAATTTATAGCTCTTGATTGGGAATTTTTTTTACCGTTGAAGTAATGAATGGGCGAGGAGGGGACTTATCAGTAAACGTTTTGGGCTGTCATGTACTATCGTATTTTTGTTGGAGGCCTTACAAATTCTCGAGTCTTCACCAGATTGACTAATTCTCATGTTTTTCTTATTGGTGCCGTTTGGACTTTGAGATTATAGTTTAAGCTTTAAATTTTGATTTGTTCTTGTGAATATGGTTAAGGTTGAAAAAGGAACTCCTTGAGATGGAAAGCTATGTACTTTATTCCTAATTTTTTCACTTTATATGACGTAGTGTAAGATTAACTTCGTTCAAGGTCAGGTTTGGCAGAGTAAATGGGAAGAATTTCATGGTTGAGGGGAGAATCTCAATTTACTTCACCTCATATTATTGTATTATATTATATTTTCTTTAAGTATGGTCTCTTCAAGGCACGAACTTCGTGGCATCCACATTTTACATTTGTTTGAGCTTTCTTATTCTCTGAAAATTAATGATTAAAAGAATCACTTCAGAAACTCCATAGGTAGTTCCTAGTTAGAGAATCCATCATCTCCTGAAGTGGTAGGAAAAAGAAAAGGCAAGTGATAATGTGACATGAGTTTGGTTGATGGCGCATGGCTGGCGTTAGACTTTTCTGAGAATACATGGTCACCATGAGATGCAATATCATGCTTTCTGCCTAACTAACAAAACCCCCCCCCCCAAAAAAAAAAAAAAAGACAGAAAGAAAGAAAGAAAGAAACAAAAAGAACCCTCTGAAAAATGAAGTAAAAGGAAATTATTTTAGTTGGCTGCTGAAATTTGTGTATGCATGATGGAAATAAGATATTTTTGTTTGTTTTTCTCACTCTTTTTTCCTTTGTTTTGCCTGACTGTTTTCAGATTTGACCGTGACTGGAAGAAGATTGAAGCATTTGTTGGTTCAAAAACTGTAATCCAGGTAATTATCCTAGAAGGGAAAGGGAAACAAAGAATATCATATCACTGGACATTGGGTGCTTTTGGTTTCATTTGATAGAGTGAAAAAATCTGATAAATCATTTCTTGAATTTTTTACTTCAGTTGTATGGTAGAGTGTCATTGCCTTGATTTCAGGATTGGAGATAAGGATTAAAATTGAAAACTTGTCTGATTGTATTGTATCTTGAAAAGAGTATGGGAGACATGGTGGTTTCTGGAAGAATTACAATAAAAATGATTAACCTGAATTGCATGTGATGAAGATAGTGAACACTTAATTCCACCCATCCTTTCCCATGTTACCCTGATTAGCAAAGCAATTTAATCCTTCAATTTTGAAATAAAAATACATCCATCTTTTTCCCCTGCAGTGAAATGTTAGCCATCCTTCCCGTCTTTTTCCTTTTTCTATCCAAAGCTTAGGGGATGCAGCATAAGAACAACAACAACAACAACAACAATAACAAGCCTTATCCCACTAAATAGAGTTGGATACATGGATTGTATGACGTTATTGTGCTCTATCATTTATTAAACTTTTAAAAATATTGTTAATTAAAAGGTCTCGCTTAACAACCTCCAAAAGTGTTCTCTTCGATCTTCCTCTACCCTTCTTGATAGGGCTCAAAGTTATATATTACATTCTTCTCACAGGTGCCTCCAATGGTCTTCTTTGTATATGTTTGAATTACCTCAAATGATTTTCTATTATTTTTCCTTCAGTAGATGCCATACCCACTTGTTCCCGTATACGTTCATTTCGAGTTTTGTCTTTATGTGTATATCTACACATCTATTTCAATATTTTCATTTTTGCTACTCTAACTTTATGCCTGTGCTATCCCATCAAAGTTCAACATTTAATACCATATAAAATTGGTCTTATAGTAGTTTGATAAAACTTTCTTTTACGTTTATCAGGTACTTTATGATGGCAGATAACTCCTTTAGCTTTTCTTCAATTAAACCATCCCGCTTGTATCCTATGTGCAATATTTCCATCAATTTTCTCATTTTGTTGAATAATTGCTCCTAAATATCTAAACTTTTCCACTTGAGGTATGATTTGATCATCCAATTTCACTTTCAAGTTACTACACACTGACTCTTTATCAAAATTATAATGTAAATATTCTATTTTACTCCCACTTAGGCGGATGCAGCATAAGAAGATAGGATTATTACTTATTTTTTTACACTTCTGAGCATCATTTGGGACTCATTATGATATTATTATCTCATAAGTGTGGTGATTTAAGGATTAACTAATGAGTTATAAATTGAGACGTTTCAGCCTTGGCAGATTTATCCCATCATACTTTCTTATTGCTGATTTGCTGTTAAGATTTCTGTTTTAGGTTGCCTATAAGTAGACCTGTTATGGAATAAAATAGTTACCTTTTGACTATTGATGAAATTGATATTGATTATTTGGAGAGATTTATTTTATATATATATATATATATATATATTATTTTCTTTCCTATAGAATGGCCCTGCAAATAGGAGTAAAATCAGTCAATGGTTAGTTGTCCCAACGGCAATGTCACCTCCCTTACTTGGAAGAGGTCTTGGGTTTGAACCTAGTGTTGACATGGTTGTGGATGTGCATGGGTGCGTGTGTCTCCCTTTCCTATGGAGAAGAAATTGGTTAGGGGTGAAATTTTTTTAAAACAATAGGAGTAAAATCAGGGTTGAGGACTAGAATTATAGTATTAAGGAATATAATGTTGCGGTTTGTTGTAAGGTTTATTGAGTGGAAAACAAAGAAAGACGTTAAATTTTGAACTCATCTTGGATTATACAATGGATTCCTCTTCTTAGTTGCTGTGTTGGCAATATGAGTGAGTTATGGATGTGATTTTTAGAGTGTAGTGATTGCCATGTAAACAGTTTCATTGCAGGATACAGAAAATGTATTTATTGTTTCATCTTTTTTCTCATGGTTATTTTCCATGTATGTTACATGGTCTGCTTATACCCCCTGTTCCTCTTTTTGGCAAAGCTGTATAATATATTTACTTCTCCTCCTGTGCTTTGGCAGATACGGAGTCATGCACAGAAGTATTTCCTGAAAGTTCAGAAAAATGGAACAAGCGAACATGTACCTCCACCTCGGCCAAAAAGAAAGGCTGCTCATCCATACCCACAAAAGGCACCTAAAAATGGTTGGCAACTTAGCAGAGTCAACCACTTTTCTTTTATTCATTACTTGAATCCATTATGTCTTTGTTATTTTTTTTTTAAATAATTTTCATTTTAGCAGCTCCATCTGTATGCCAAGTTACAATGCCATTGCAGTCTTCATCTTCTTCCATTGAGCCTTTATACATTTATGGGCCAGACTCATCATCTGCACTTGGAACTCCAGTTAACAGTGTGCCTTTGTCAAATTGGACTTGTAATGTTATACCACCATCCAATGCGCCACAAGTGACTAGAGGTTTGATTTGACCTCAAATCCAGTGTTTTTTTTAAATTTACTTTTTATTTGATTCTTCATTTCTCGTCATTTATTCAATGAATTTAGATAAATTGAAGGCCTTTCTGACTCAGAAATTATTGATGTTTATTAGATGAGGTGGGATTGCCTGGCCAAGCCGCTTCTCTAAATTGTTGCTATAGCAGTAGTAATGAGAGCACTCCAAGGGCTTGGCCAAGAAGCCAAGTTATTGATCAAGGAAACTTAGGCAAGCCAATCAAAGGTTGGTTTGCCTCTTCACTTCATTTGTGTTTGAGTTGGATTCGACATAATGGCATAATCACAATATTGATAATTAGGTCTGTCTTGGTTGTGTTGAAGTAGCCTGTGCGGGGGGGTTAAGTAAATAATACAAATGATTGTTCCTTTGTGTTATGTTTTCAAGTTGATTCAAGTATGCAGTGTCTCAACTGTGTTATTTGGTCGCATGTGATTCTCAGAATTTCTCTATACAGTAATTAACGAAAGAACTTCAATTTCATAAGGATGTTGAGTCAAAAGAATGAAGGAAATTATTCCCAAGGCTTCTACTGGTTGGATTGGACTTACCTTGCAAATTAAATACGAATATTCATGATGAATTCCCTGCCGTACCTGGCCCATGAAATTGCTTGGACTTTGAAGTTTTTTAGGCATCTTGGGACCATGTTCAGATCTAGGATTAGAATTTTTGCTGTTTTTGGGATGAATTTACATATTTCTCTTCCTGCTTGCTGCCATTCACTCTTACTCCAGGTCTAGATTGGCACTTCATTCTGACTTTACTGTCTAGGAGCACTACACGCAATTTCTTTTTGCCACTTTTCCTGAGACGAATACTGTGCCTGCTTCCTTGTCCTTATTCATTTACATTATTCTTCAATTCTGGTTGATGCCTTGTATTTACGTTGTTATTGTTCATGATATATTTTATTTGTATGTTCATGATTTTCACCACACTTCTGTTGACTTTCACCTGTCATATGCAGTAATGCCGGATTTTGCACAAGTCTACAGCTTTATTGGTAGTGTGTTTGATCCAAATGCAGCAAACCACTTGGAGAGACTGAAACGGATGGACCCAATAAATGTGGAAGCGGTATGCAGCCTCAAGATCATCCCTCCTTTTTTGGGTGTGGTATGAACTATCGGAATATGTTGGAACTGAGAAGTTTGGATGGTGCTTTATGCAGGTGTTACTATTAATGAGAAACCTCTCCATCAATTTATTGAGTCCCGAATTTGAGGATCATGTAAGATCTGTTCCCTAATAGATGGAATTGTTCTCTTGGTATTTTTTCATCAGATAATTGCTAAGCACATAAAATCTAATGTGCTTATTTTAGATAATATGATGCTAGGTATCACTAGAGATAATTTTTCTTCCACCTATCTAAATTACTTTAAAGTAAGGCCAATGCTTCTTCTTGCTGTCATTGTTTGGGTCGTGGACTATAAAATCATGGCTCTAAACCATACTTATGTTTGATAGCATGGGTAATTCCTCTTAACTTTGGTTTTCCAAATATACAAGATTCCTGATTTTGGCCACTCTTCTTTGTGAATGTGTATGGTTTTATGTTGGTCTAATAAAGGGCATTTCCTGGCATTCAAAATTGTATGGTAAATATGACCCAGCAATCTAAAGTCACTGATAATGTCAGTTTACGCTTGCCTCATGAGGCAGTGGACATATTTGCCAGATCAGTTTCTACTGAATGAAACCACTATGATGTACAGAATCTTGTGCATTTAAGTAGGATGCTGAGTTCTGTTATATGAACTGTATTATAATCTACTGATTGATTCACCTGTGTGAAAACCCTTTGAAATTAATGCAGAGAAGGTTTCTTTCATCGTACGATCCTGCCTCTGAGAAGGTGAAGTCTGGTAATCTCTGTAGCAATCCTCTAACGGACAAGTCTCACAGTGCAATTCTGTCTGCTTAAAGCATTACAAGTGGATTCTGCTGCTGCTCGGTGATTTCATATATTATCGAAAAGCTGAAATTCTCTGTTCACTACTTTTGATGCTGAATAGTAAACTATGGGGCACTTGTAAGGGGAAGGAACAATAGGTGTTGCCAGAAGCTGTTAGTTGCAGGGGTTTCATCTGTATATACGTGACATACAATGTTTGGGATTTTTGTTTGGTTTAGGTACTAGGTGGGAACAGAGTTTCCTTGAGGTTTGTATAGGGTCTTGTGTATATCTTAACAAGATGATTGTCCTTGAAGCATTTGTTTTCTGTAAGTAGGATTATCCATGTCGAGTCTCTGAATCTTAGTCGGGTCACCTTCGGAGGCAACATTGTACAGTCTGCTGAGTGCTTGTGTGTGTTTTCTGGTGAAGATGCTTTAAGATTTATGCGACAGTGGGGTTAAGATTTGGGGGTGCTGTTTGTGTATATTGTATATAAACTAATAGAAGAGTGAAAATAATCAACAATCTTTGTTTTCGAGCGTGCGGACCATCTTCTATGTGCTGAAATAGGTGGGAATCATGTTGAGGCTGATGAGAACCCGAGAGAAATAGAAAAGAGCACAAAGAGCGTGGTTTCTTCCTTTCACCTTTTTTCGAAGGAAGCTGAAGATCAGTTATTGAAGAAATTTAGTGTCATTATATCTAAAAATTTATGGACTCAGATAGTCAGATGAGGAGTGTTATAACTGAATCAGTTTTATTACTTGGCCGAAAGGAAAGCTAGGGTTTTATCTCCCTTTCGTTTGTTATGTAAAAGAAAATTACAAATGCCCGTGCATGATGATTGCACTGGATTAATCTAGTCTTGTTTTGCATGAAAAGGGGATCGCTAGTTTAAAACAACTATTGATAGAAATATTTCGCTTATTTCGAAGTGTTGATCAAATATGTTTTTGTTTAATACTAAACAATAAAATGATGGTATGTTGAACTTGTTTACGAGGCTAAACAGGACAAAATATTACCCGTTCCCTTGGTTGTCTGATGATCCGTTTACATTTTGTTTCAACTTCATCATCCGTTCTCTTTTGATTAAATATTGTGTAAATGAATAAATTATTTCTGAATTTTAAGTTAAATAGCACTATAAATCATACTTATTATGCAAATTCTTTTCTCACATTTTGAGAAGGGTGTAATCTGGCTTTAGCCATTAACAAATATTAAGTTAGTTAATTAGAAAATAATAAAAAAAATTAAAAATAACAAGAATTATAGAAAAGAATTAAAAAAATTTTGTAACTTTTTGATGTCCCTTTTTATTATTTTTTAATGGGTTGAAAGTTAATTTTATTTTTGAATTGGACTCAATCCTAAATTCAATAAAAAGTCATCTATATTTTTAAACCTTAAAAAAATTTTATTTTATCACCCTCTTGTATCCTCCATTTGGTTTTCCCCGCAGCAGGCCCACATGTGAATGTTTCAACATTTTTATTATAAAATATTACTTGTGAATCCCACCCTATTTTTTATATTTTTTATCTCTCTCCTCTGCTCTCTCTCATCTCTCTTGGCCAGGTTCAACACCAAAAAGTCATGACGGTGGGCTTCAGAGGCGACGAGCTTTGATGGTTTAACTGGACACAATATTGTGCATATTAAACGCCTTCATAACCTTCACTCCAACCTCTCCTTCAACCTTACATTCCCCAATCTCAGACCCGAAAATGAAAACACCAAAACCGGTACTGCTCTGCTATCCTTCTTCACGTTCAACTTCTCCTTGAATGGCGTTGCTTGCATCTCTAACTTTGGCGGATGCCTTTGAACGTGAACATGCGAAAGTTGATTACATCTCTAAATGTGAACATGGCGATGTCTTCATGTTCGAGTTTCAACCTCTCTTTGAATGCTGTTTCTCCCTCTCTCCTCCCCCACTCCCTCTCTCTCTCTCTCACCCCTCCATCTTCTTCTCTCCTTCCTCTCTAACTCCATTAGTGGCACGCGTTTGTGAGTAGTGTTCCATGAATCAAAGTGTGTACTTCGAGAAGCTCACCTACCACATCTGGGTCCATGCACAAATGCGTGTCGTGGTTCACCGACACCAATGCCCAGTTCATCACCACCCGACTACTCTGTCTTCTTTCATGATTGATTGTGTGTCTAGTTCTCGCAATGCTTCTTCAGCCCTCCATTCTCTCTGTCTCTCTCTCCGTAAGTTTAAAAGCCCACATCTAGAGAGAAAGAGTGGGTTCGTCGTGTGTGGTGACAGAGGTTGTTGATTGCCAGAAGAGGAGGGGGAGGGAGAGAGAGGAGGGAGAGAGAGAGAAGCTAGAGGTGGGTGGTCGGCCGGTGATGCGACAGAGGAAGGGGAAGATCAGAGGTAGGTCATGGTGATGATCATGCGTGATCAAGGTGGGTGCTAGGTTTTGGTTTCGAGTCTTGTCCTTCTCCACCTCCATATATGATTCTTCATCAATGGGAGTACTGCGAAAGGGAAAGGAGAGAAAGAGGGGGGGTGGGGGAGAGGCGGATAGGATCGAGTTGCAGAGAGAGGGAGAGCAAAATATTTAAAAAATGAAAGGCAGGACCACTATAAAATAATTTTATAATAAAAAAGATTAAAAAATTTACACGTGGGCCCACTGACGTAGAAAAACAAATGAAGGAAATGTCAAGGTAATAAAATAAAAGATCATAAAAGATCATTTGTTGAATTTAAGTCATCTATAACTTTTCATATTAATTTTAGAAATATTTTTTATCCTCATTTATTTTTTAATTAATTAATAATTAAAATTAAATTTTATTAATAATAAAAACTTAATTATACTCTTTTTAAAAGTTGAAGAAATACTTTACACAAGTAATGAATTTAAGATATATGATACTAGAAATTTAAAATTTAAAAAATAATTTGTTTATTTACACTTACATTTTTAACTTCACCACGCACTAATATTTAAATTCTCACAAAAAAAAAAGGTATGGCATTTAATATTTGATTGCATTTCATAGAAAGTCTTTTTCTTTTTTTAATTTTATTATGATCGGCTAAAAAGCTGGGTTAATTAAAAGTAGGTGATTGCCTATCAAAAAAATAAAAAAAGTAGATGATAGAGATTAATTTGAAAACTATAAATTATAATATAGTATTGAGATGCATTTAATTAAAAAAAATATAACTCTTTGCTTTTGTAGTTTTATTGTATTTTGTTGTTAGTTTTTGTATTTTTTTTTTTACATTTTAGGTTCCTATAGCCTTTTTTTATTTTGTAATATTAGTTTTTTTATTTTTAAATATGCTTACAGGGACGATGATGCAGTACAAATGATGTTAAATTAGAGCATTTAATGTATAAGGTAAAAGACTTGACCTATAATGACTTGAAATTACTTTTTACATTGATAAGAAATGTGTCTAGAAATCTAAAACCTTATTTCAAAAGCAATCATCCATTTTCTAACATATGGCTGATTCAAATTGTTAACCCATTGTGTTTTAAACATGTTACCATTTTTATTGACGTTGTTAGTTGTAAATTAGATAATTTAATACTGTTATTAATGCTACATCATCTCTAAGCATATTTAAAGATAAATAGATTAATATTATATATGATAAAAAAAATCTAGAAAAACCTAGAGCATTTGAAAAAAAAAAAAAAAGAGGACATGGACCAATACCAAAATATGATAAAACGTCTTGCACCATTAGTTATATTTTCTTTGATTAAAACTATAAGGACATGCTTTTGGCTTCATTAAACTTTACGAATCAATGAACCGATTTTTCATTTCATTATAGCATATGATAGAGGCTCTGATATGGTAAATGCCATATTTCTTCCCTTTTCTTTGTATGCCAACATCTATCTTCCCTTAAATATATGCACCTTTAAATTTTCTTTATCTTTCACGATAGAAAATAAAAAATGTATATTTATAAAAGCATCAACAAATACAATATTTAGTCTGTTACATATGTCATTATTATTTTTATTGCTTTTAAAATATAAAACTTATTTATAAACTTAACTATTTTTATCACATTTTTGTTTATATGTTACGTATCAAATAAGTAGTCATTATTTTCCCCCAAACATTTTGCTTTTTCTCGAATGTTCGTTCTTCTTTATTTTTTCGGCCAGTTCGCAATCTGGGTTGTGAAATGTGAATGAACCCCTTATACATTCACAGAAAGTTAAAGACAGGTCCTGAGCTTGTATAATATTTACTATAAAGTTCCGAAGGTAAGCCTAAGAAAAGCAGAGTCAAGGGCGTTTTACAGTTATCCACTCTGAACGAAACCCCTTCACCTGGGAGCTTGAAAACCCAATCCATTGTAAATCCGAGGGTGAGAGACGAGCGCACACCATTCCATGGCTCATCCTTCCCTTCTTCCGTCCTCAACGTCGTCGTTTCTGGGTCACTTTCAACTCTTTCCGGCTCCACTGTCCTCCGGACTTCTCTACAGAAATGGGAACGGAGGCGCGGTGGCGCCGGTGAAGGCCACTGCGGCTGGGTCCGGGGTTGTATTGGTGGAGAAGTCTGAGGCAGAGAGGCCCCACCGGCTTAAAATAACTTACAATGAGAAAATCATTCCCTTGCTTATGGAAGAATTCAAGTACACCAATATACACGAGGTTTCTGTGTTTTCCTTTCAATCCCCTCCAATTTTTGTAGAATCCCTGGAATTCTGGGTTTTATGGGTCTTAAGCGTGAAAGTTATAGTTTTGATGCAAGATAATGGGGAAAATGAGATGGAGGTGGAAGCATTGCCCTCGCTCCTGAAAACTTAGGGCTTTTATTTCTTCCTTTCAGGTCCCTAAAATTGAGAAGGTCGTGGTTAATTGCGGTATCGGAGATGCTGCACAAAATGCAAAGGGTTTGGAGGCGGCAATGAATGACCTAGCACTCATCACAGGGCAGCGGCCTGTCAAGACCAGAGCCAGGGCTTCAGTTGCCACCTTCAAGATCAGGGAAGGCCAACCCCTTGGGATTGCTGTCACACTCAGAGGAAAAGTGAGGATGCCTTATTCAATAGATATTGCTGTGTGCACTATCCATTTGACGTCTGAATGTATTGCCTTTGCATCATTCTAAATTTGTTTCATATGAGAAGTTGATGTTTGAAACATTGTGGAAAGGTTATCTGGTAGATTTAGGGTGTGTTTGGATGGATGTATCGCATGATATAGAATGAAATTGTCCAAGTGAGCTAGGTGTCATTGTTTGGGGGTTTATTTAGGGGTGGAGAGAAATAGCTTAGGATACCTTCAAGGCCACTTATGGCTAACCAAAACTCATCTGAACTGATTTTCGTGTCTCTCTAAATTATGGGTCAAGGATGAAACGGAATGGACAGATGTTACGATTACATTTATCTCCTTTTCGGGTTAAATATTGAAAAAATAATTTATTAGCCATTCTATTCCATGAACGACTCCCTCTCCTATTTCATTAAACTCTCAAGCAATAGAATGACACATCATTTTTTCCACATTCCATTATCTCATGACTCCCAAACATAGACTATAGAAGATGGTCGCGTCAAGCCATTTGTGGATAAAGCCTATCAGGGGTGGATTTTACGTACATGATTTTTCTTTGGTGAAAGGATTTACATATATGTTTATTTATGAATGTTTAGGTCTATCTATCTTTCTCTAGAATGGCTTTCCTTAAGAACTTATCAACAACGTGCGTAGCATGAAATTAACTTATAATGTAGTGTTGGTGGCAAAATAGTGTGGTTTACTAGGAAAGTAAAGGCCTCAGCGCAAGCCTTTTGGGAAGTTCGAAGAGATGTTTGACCACAGCTTGATTACTACCAGGAGAAAGAGGCTTGAATGTAGAGCATGTGGCTACTGTTTTTCAATAAATTTTGTTACTTTCGCTGCATCTTATTATTGGGTGTAAGCTTATTGATGTCTGTTGAGAAGAGGAGGAAATGAATGTTGAATGAGTGATAGAATACACTCTATGGAGGTGATATGATTATGGATGCACTTGATGATACCTTAATTATGGAATATCCTTTTGATTTGTGAAGAAACGAGTTCTGGACATCGACAATGGATTCATGGTAATACACATAGAACTCAAATGGTTGAATTATCTTTCAGGAATACTAGATTTCATATTTTAATGCTTGTTTTCCTATAATGAAGCTTATCTTTAAATGCTTGTTTTTGCATAGACAGTTCTCAGTAAGCACTTTTATAGATTTGATTCTCATTAACAATTCTGTTGAAAGATTGGTTTTCCATCGAATATCGAATTTCACATGAGCTTACATCTCACAGTCCTGCTTCTGCATGCTTTTAGATTATGCTTTGCATTGTACCTAAAGTATCAGAGCATCTCACTTTCACTCAAAACTAGTAGTTTGATATGATTTGATTTCAACAGTTGATGCACTCTTTCCTAGACCGACTTATCAACTTGGGGCTTCCCAGGACAAGGGATTTCCAAGGTGTTAACGCCAACAGTTTCGATGGACACGGAAATTACAGCATCGGCATCAAGGACCAGAGCGTGTTCCCGGAAATCAGGTCTGACATCGTCAGCAAGCCTAGAGGAATGGACGTGTGTATAACAACAACGGCTAAAACTGATCAAGAAGCAAGCAGATTACTGGCTCTCATGGGCATGCCCTTCAGAGAGGGAGGTGGCCCCGCTACAGCAATTCGCAAAAAGAAGCTCAAGTCTCATCATTTTGACTCAAAATCAAAGAGCAGAGCAAGGAGGTGAAATTTTGTAGATGAGATTGTAGCAAAGCCCTGTATCCTTATTCTATAATACTGTTATTGCTTCTTTTTGAGATCAATATTACGGTTGTGGAGATCATGTTTAATAACTGGTCAAAGAAATGCTATTAAAATATAGTCTAATGTGGAAGGAATCTAGATTTATGTGAACAGAAAAATAAAAGTAGAATCTTGTTTAGTTATGCACTTGTTTCATTCTAGAATTTCCTGAAGTTCTTTTCTCTTAGACACGCACAAGAAAAGGTATAATGTTAAAATTTAGTTCCACCTAGCCAGTTGAATTGTAATTTGTTGAATCAATGTTATGATCGATTTAATGAAATCTCATGGCGGGTCTAATTCATGACAAGTAGATAAACATAAAGCACGAAAATTCTTATATCTATGTTAATTATTAGAATGTTGCTCTTAGAGTCCCTTAGGGGACATTTGCAAGAATTGGAACGATGTAGAAAAGATTAACATGTATAAGGATGACACATACATATCAAGAATGTTGTCTTCAGAGCTTACTCCTTCCTATTTAGGGATATGCTTGATGAATCTATCTTGGATCAAATGTTCATAATAATTTATCCGGTTTGAAAATGCCATTTAAAAAAAAAACTTGTGAGTAAAAAAAAAAAGAAAGAAAGAAAAGGGCTTTAGCACATTTAGCCAACATTATGTTGTTAAATAAAATTAATAACCCACTTTTTTCAAAATAAGAAAATAGCCGTTTGCTAATTTCCCTACATACCAAAAGATGAAATAATCCTTAAACACACAATATCCTAATTGCCTTTCTCAAATCGGAGACTTGGAGACCTGGTGATGAACGCAAAGGTGAGGCAGACCGAAGCTTTGCATTCATTTAGGAAAACACACGAACGTGAGGCGAGGCAAGGCAAACTTACTGCTATAAATTCAAGGTGAAAAATCATGAATGCTGCTAGGGTAAGAAGCACTTGCTGCTATAGATTTAGGGTGAAGAAGTTTGGTCACATTTACTCTAGCCAAAGTTCAAGCGAGGATTTTGCAGATATTTTGTCAATGGCACCAAAGAGGAAAAATCGTCTTGCTTCACCTAGTATTTTTGCAGAATCCTTGATATAGGGCTATATATCATATGCTTAGACCTCTTGATTTGTTTGTTATTAAGAGCTAAAAACACCCTACCCTATATCAAAGCTTTTGGCTATAACATATACAATACCCTGTATATCAAATTATTACTTATTTAAAGACTTAATACATGTAATATTTCACAGGAAGATTGCAAAGCAGCATGTTCGTAGACTAGTCAAGAAAGAATTTTTCATCCATTTCTTTAAGATACATCATATTTCTATTTTCGTCTTCAAAGAAGTAATGAGTTTTTATTAAACCGATGAAATAGTTCATCTTAGATGTTTGAATATGGAATAACGATACCTAATCTTTTATGGACTTTATAAAATCATTTTCTACTTGATGCTTGGAAGATTTCTCCTTAGCCAATGATGTGGCTTCCTCAACATTTTTCATACACAATTTCCATCATATCAAGATATGAAGTTGTGTCTTCCACAAGCACTTTCAGGTATGAACCATCCACGTAGCGGTTGTTCAAATCCTATTTTTCATCATAAGAAATGATAAGATTAAGCATCTATATATCTACAAAATGACATGATATTGGTAAGTTATCATTGATATGCTTTATCAATGAGATACTATAATATATTAATGATATACTAACGTTAATGAGAAACATGAAAACACCATACTCCTTTGTCCAAATCAGATTAAATTAGGTTTGAAAAAAATTACAGACGCCTTAGCTAATCATAGAAAATCAAATAACTAAAATAAAAAAATAAAAATCATGAACAATGAGAAAATAATATGTTTTCTGTTTGAAATTCAAGCAAATTGCATGATTAATGGCAACAAAATAATAGATTAGGAATAGATGATTTACTAATTCAGTGGAGATATTACCTGGTAGATGAAGATGATGAAAATTTGATTATGGATGATACTCTTCAACCTTCAGATAAAAGAATACAAGACAACTTTTATTCGATAATGCAGTTTCCTCTTTAATGTGATGATAATGTCTGGGAAAACAGAGAAGATAAACAGAGAGAGAAAAGTACTATATGATAAGAAACATTCTACAATTTGTGATGAAGATGGTGAAGAAAATAACCGTACAAATGGAGAAATAAAATCAAGAAAAATCAGATAAAAATAAAATCAGTTATATTCTGTTTTAATAAAAATAACTGTACAGATTCGAGGATAAAGAAGTAAAATTACTTCTAATTTATTTTTGAATGGGCTATATTCTAAAATATTCAAAAACTTCTTCTATAATTTATGGGAGTTATATTTTTTTAGGCCATTGAGCCAATTTTATCAGAAAGAAAATGCCTTGCATTTTATTAAGTGAAATTCTTGAGTGTATGTGAATCTTCATACGCATGATTTATATAATAATTTAGACATTAATAATATTTAAAGAATGATATATGGTAAAGTTATGTTGGAGTAAAGTTAAGGTTTTTTTTTAAAATCCTATTATATGTCTAGTTAGTTTTTTTTTAAATGTGAGTTATAATTATTTAAAAAGATGGAGTGGTGATAATTTTTTTAAATGCTTAAGATTTCACAGTTCCAAATGATGAAAGTGTTACAACTAAGGAAGGTTTTTGGCTTCGTGAACGACCTAAGCTACGTCAAGTGATGCAACAGGTGACATAAGACAATCACAATGCAACGTCATTTATCTTTCTCCTTCAATTTCAGAAATTGTACTCTCCCACATGCGAGGATAGAGAATCTATACAGTACTAGTATGAATTGAAAATAAAAAAACGCAAATTTTATTTAATTATAATGTTATATGCCTTGTTATTTGAATATGCATAGTGGTGCTTTTCTACATGGTTGCATGATCATGATTCGGGTAAGAGGATGCCCTAAGAGGAGTGGATATTACTTTTTCCATGTAATTATATAATCATCACCGTAGGTGGCCTCGGTGTTTGATTCCTCAAGTCGGGTCTTTTTAAATCTCACCCAATAATGCGTGTGAGTGTAGATTGCCTAAACCTATGCCTTTAATATAACCTTGGACTTGTGTAGGGTAGGGCATTTAGACACCTAAATTGATTTGAGAATTGGAGGAATTTATGGTCTGATAGTAAGTGAGACATTTTTAGCCTAGCAACTTCTCGTGTTAGTGAGCTTGGGCTGGTCCATTTACATAGATTCATCCTATTAAATTGTCAGCCTACTGATTTGGTTGGCAGTATGGAGGAGATAAGGAGTTGTTGATTATACATTTGAAATGTTATGGAATGTGGCACCTATGATATTGTGATTATTGGCTTTGCTTGTTTTTAAAATGCTCACTTTGTATGCCTTTATTCATCTGACTTACATGAGTATGATTTAAAGTTTCTTTGGTTATTAAATAATTATACTCACTCCTATTGACTATTTTATAGGCATTAGTTTCAGAAAGGCAAAGGAAAGACTTTTGAGACTTTGGAATTTGTATTATTACTATAGGCCTCCCACCTTCACATATTTGTCTATTTATGATTTATGATAATTTGCCAACTTAGTACATCTATTTTGGGTTATTTGAATCATTGCGTATTATATCTTATTGATAAATGTATTTACTGCCCTAACTTTGTGTAAAGTTGGTGATTCAGGTGGGTTAGGCTTAAAGTATTTTACCTTATCAAAAAAGCCCATATTACCAATCTGGGCCCTAACACCTTTGAGCTTTAGGCTTATTTGGACCGGTTCTAATACCCAAAACTTTTTAAAAATATTTTTTGTTTTTTAAACTAATTTTAATGTTTAAATAATTCTGTTAAGTATAGAATATTATTTTGATTTTAAAGAATAAAAGAAAAAAATAATTTATCAATTTTGTACTTAAGTAACTCCATTACTATTTTGTTTTAGTATATGTAATTTATTCATGAATGTTTTCTTTACTTATAAATTAATATTTTAATTATTTAAATATTACTCTTATCATGATTATATATAAATATTTTATATATTTTAATAAAATTATATTATTTTTATTATGATCAAGTTGATCTCAATTCAAATATAGTTAGACCACTAATTTAAAATTATTGTCTAGATTAGTTCAAAGTTTTTAATAACTTTCAAGTAAACTGTACTTTTAGTTTTTAAAAATGAAAAAAAATAATCATCATTATGTTATATAAAACAAAATTATTTAATTATAAGTGAAATATTATTTTTTAGAATTTTTTTAATTTTTTATATTGTTTAACCCCTGTATACAAGGGGTATTTAATCTAGTTTATGGATGATAATTAAATAATTATTTAAAAATATTTTTATATTTATTATGTTTATTTAATAGTAGAGCTGAGAATTCATACATGCTTGAATTTTATTTTTAAAATTATTTTTAATTTAATTTTTACTTTGAAATTAATTATCTTGTTTTATAAAAAATATAAAATATATTTTTTTGTATAGTCAAATGATGTATGGGACTCAAAATTTTTTTAAAAAATAATTGAGTCTTAAAATATAAAAATTAATATTAAAATATATTTTAATATTATTTTGAGATATTTTATTGATTAAAAATATGAAAATATAAATTATTTTTAAAAAATAACAATAGTAATGCACTCAAATATTCATATAAAATGATATAAAACTTAAATAATTAATTACAACTTATTATGTTTTACATATTTTTTCAAATATTATTTTTTATTTAGGTATTATGGTAAAGCTCGAACTTGATTGGGCTTAGCCTAAATTTTTTTAGGCCTATTCGTTCCAAATTGAATTGGTCCAAAAAGGCTCAAACATTTAAAAAATATTTTTTATTGGGCCTAGCCCTAAAATTTTTAAGCAGGCTCGAGATGGTCTATCGGGTTTAACCTTAATTATCGGCTTCAACTTTGTGTATTTGCTATTAAAGTGGAATAAGGTCTAAATACTGGTATAAGTACATTTAAAGTTGATCATTATTACTTTTAACTATTGTAAAAAGTTTAAAACATGAAATTAGGCTATATTTGCCCCTTATGGCTTTTAGTGAAATCAAGGTTGAGGGTGTAATCGTGATATAAGTGTTTTATGTATGATGTGATACATTGTATAGGTAGTCTTTAGTCTTAAGGACTTGGTCTAGGGGGTTGTT